CACTATACAATACAAAACTGATTGTTCATCAATCTCAAGAATTTAGAAAAAAAATTGTTGCTTACAGTTGACACACTCCATAAGCTTATAAATAAAAAGATTTATTTATATTTAATAACTAAATTTATTGAAGTTGACGGGATTCTTCTGTCAACAAAGCTTGTAATTCTGAAGCTCATATAAATAATATTTAACAATACAAATTAGCATGATAATAAAATACCTTTAAATAGTTATAATAAAAAAAAGCTAATAAAAGTTTGTTGAGGTTATAAATCACATTGTCGTGCGATAACTATGGAATAATCAAGCCAAGACAGCAATCCAGGGCCGACATAATCACTTGGGTTATCCAGAGACTAAGTGAAAGTAGGCAAACTCCGTATTCAAACGACTTAAGTTGCAAGATTGTTGAGAAAGGCTCACGTTTTGTGTTCTTCGAGGTCTATTTCTGGTCTTCATTATTTAACAAAATGTGTATATTATGTTAAAGACTATTTTATGAGAGCTCATCAGAGAGCTGTAGCAGGTACTACCTTTGATCATATCAAGTGAAATGGCTGATGACCTTCATTTAATGACCTTGGAAGTCGAAGGACAAAAGTCTATCAGGGATCCAACCTTTAAATTATCTTTACCACAGTAGCACCTTCTGCTGGAGACATGAAAAAATGGAGTAATTAAGATTAGCTTGATAATAACTTTATTATTCTCTAATTATCATGTTGATTAATATTCTTAATAAGCATTTATCAAAATTATATCAGTTGGGCTTTTAATAGGCTATTATAACTACCTTCTTTAATTAGGATATTATATTTATGAATATGTAAATTTATCAATTCATTTCAGCAATAGTCTTGTTCATTGAATACAAAGCATTGTTATACACAGTTGAATAATATTTACGTAAAATTGGAGAGAGCAAAAAGAAAGAAGCTCTTCTTGCTTTTAAAAATAGTGCTTTGATCATTTTAAATGTAGGAAAAAGTTTAGAAAGTTATTTTGGTTGGTGATCAAATGTTGGATTTTAAATTATTTATTATCTATTATTAATATGTTTTGTTTAAATAAAATCATTTTTAATTAGATAAAAATTTAAAGTAATTACTGGATCAAACTTCAATATATGACTGATATTTTTTATCAAGAACAGGACTGAAGACTCACCTGGGATGCTTGAAATTAGTTGATGCATATCATGTCTAAATTATTCCAGTCCATATCGATTGAATTTAAAGCAGCTTTTTAAAAGTACCTCTAGAATAAAAAACAAAAGTTTTCATTATAAAAAGGTTCAATTTCTAATCAATAACTGCTGCTACATGTTGGAATGGATTTGAAAAGATGTCTGGTATTAACAGAGTAGACCAGGGCTAGACAAATCTTGGCTTTTTTGATGCAAAGAAAGAAATACTTATATAGGATTTAAATGTGGATTTACAACTTCTTTTACTTACTTTTATTGAAACCATGGAATCACACTTTACTTCTAAAAGCATCACCTAGCTCTAGGGTAAACCATACAAACATTGATGCTTGCACCTAATTGAAGATAAGTTTATTCAAAACCTGCTGTAATCACCATTTTAACAACCTTGAAATGAAGAGATGATGAAAATGGTAATATTCCAACATCAATATCAATCGTTAAAAAAAAATTACCATCATCTTTCCAAGAGCTGGAGCTTTGATAAAAATTGTGACGCCTATAACTACACTTGCTGGAGTTAATTATGAATCAAATACACATGTAGGAATGATAAATATAGAAATAATTGCTGTTTACTATCTCATTAAATTGATCATCTCATTACAAATATATTTTTAATACCACTTGGTTGATATAACCATTTTTATTTACTCTTCAAAAACATCTGCGAAACATAGTTGTCGTATTGAATCGATGAACGGATCCACGTACTTTCCAATGTAAAATAAATGAAGAAAAAATTCATTGTCCTTGGTTTAGGTCATTGAATTTTCTTTCATCTTTCTTCTTATGATTCGATTATTCCTGTATAAAAAAAAAAGGGTTGTTCCTCTGACGTATATTAATAATTCCTCATGAAATAAAATTGTTTACAATATCTCAGCTTTTTATAGATTTTATTGATTAAAATAATATGGAAGAACAAAAGTATCATCAATGAATAGAATTAAAATATTTTTAATCCAAAGTCTCATTGGAAAGCTACTTTGCATTGACAGTTCACTAATGCTATTGAACTCCAAAGCTCATTATTTTAAAAAAAAATTCAATAAACCATTAAACTAAATTGTTTTGACATTTTAAAAAATTTACTGCTACACTTATTATCCAAAGATGGCAATCAAAAAATTCATATAACGTATTACCTATGAAGTGATCATATAAATGTATGTAATGACGAGTAATTGGTGTTATGTAACAGTATTTTTAAATATTAATATGTCCAACGTGTCAGGCCATTGATTGGATAAAACTTGTGATAAATATTGATCCTTCATCCAACGGTCCTCTTCTATACATAGTCATCACACTAAAAACAATGTCAGTGTTAGAATTATTATTCATTCAATTACATAGACACATCAAGGATCAGATTTTATTTATTCGTTCATTGTCACCTCCAACACAATCTTCTCTAAGATAGATTGTCGAAAAGAAATGTGTCATATCATTAAAGTACTGCGTGACAACTAGAATAGAAGAACGTTGATTCGAAGACAATTTAAAAATTATTCAAGAGGTTGATAAGAAAGTATTTATTTCTTGATTAAATATTTTTTTTTATCAGTCTTCTTCTCAAGTATCACTTCACATGATTACATAAATCTATTTTATTTGTACAATAATAAAAAACAATCCTCCCACATCTAGCACCTCTGTTCAAGCATCAGAATCTAAAGTATGAAATTCTGGGATTTATATCATCATCATAAAAGCAAATGAAACTAGGACACAAGGAAGAAAACCCCAGAAGCTGTGTGAATCACACATTTGACTCATCTTTTTAGCACTTAATTAATGCAACCTAAAATGACGTCTTTGTACCAGGAACTGTTGGTACTGAAAACATTATTTTTGTCCTCCTTAACAGCCATAATATGACTTGAAAAGTATCAGTGAGATCTCAAGAAGCTGCTAATCACATTGTTGACTTTCTCATAACATCCTAATATGAATCTTTTCAATCTTAAAAGCCTCAGCTGATCAGTGTCACTTGCTTCATGTTGATTTATAATATAAAGACAAACATGTGACACTTTCTTATTCGTCTTTAGTATCACAATCACGATGCAGTCACGTTTCTACCAGTACTCTTTGATATACTTTATCATAAGTAACACGTTCTGTTTTATCTTCCAGAATATTTGCATATTCTAAACTCATTCGAGATAATGAAAGGTGTTCAATCATTATGCATTGGAGGTCTATCAAATGATTCATATAATACGTAAAACCCTGAAGATATGTTCTATAAATAAAATGATTTATTACTGAGTGCTTTTCATCATTTTTATTTCCTATGTTACATATTTATTTAATATTTATTTATTTATTTATTTATTTATTTATTTATTTTAATATTTATTTAGCAGACTAAAACACTCTGATAATTTCTGAATTCTGATGATCTTTTCTCTACTCTCTATTTTGTTTATAAAAAAAATTTATTTTATTTGTAACAGTTGTAATGTCCTTTTCTTATTTAAATATTGATAAACACACATTTTTGTTTGATAAAAAAGCAGAATCTCTATTAGGAATGGCTCGTTTTGTTATCGAGAGATAGAATGCTTCGAACATGTTAACAAAAAAAAATCAATAATAAATTTATAATGGTTATACCAGTGCTGGCATTGTGGAATTGATGAAATTTCTATAAACCAGAAAGCATTTTGATGATTGCTTTTTCCTGCTAAAATAGTTTACTAGCCTTCCAATTTATGCATTGAACGTAGCTATTGCAATCATCCCTGAAATCGGAAATAGAGTTTTCATGGAATCTTTGCTATTCAAGGTCTCTAGATGGTTGAATAAAAAAAAAAAAATAAAGCTAATGGACAAATAACGAGAAGCTAGGAAAAAAAAAAAAAAAATTACATATAGAATTGAAAATAAAAATTTTTCAATCTAAATTTAATATATTCAGTTTAATAATTTTGCTCTCAATCAATATCTCTCAGACTATTTTTTTAATTGCTTTACCTGATGAAGCAAAAAACTCACCTTTGACTCGGATTTTTTATCGGCTTTATAAAACAAAACTCACGGGAATTCCCCCAAAAAACATTCCAATGCTGCCAAGTATTTTAATTATTCTTCCCTCTCGGCAGTTTTATCGAATTTTATTGGAAGTATTTTAATATTCTGTATTTTTTATTATAAAAATATTTTAAATGTTGGATTGAATAACTGTCACTTTACCACAAGAAAAATAACTCATGCTGCTATTTTTAATTAATTATTTTGTTTATTAACATCAAGGCTAGACAAAGACTGATATTAATTTTGTAAACTGAGATAAAGTTTGATGCAAAAAAATGCCCATTTAATCAATAAAATAAATTTGAAATATTCGCAATGGAATATTTTATTGAATTTAACAAAAATCCTTAATTGTTGAGACACCATGGATCTTAAAAAAAATGATCAATTCAATGAGGTGTTGGAATAAACCAATAAAAATGTATTTTTTAAATAAAATTTTAAAAAGCAATTATAATTGTTGTAAAATAAATGAATACACGTTTTGATGAATATATTTCTTTCTTTCTTTCTTTCTTTATAACAGGCATGGAGTGGACAGGTATGACTCAAACTGGTCCATAATAATTTTCTTTATTTGGCTTGATAATGACAGTTTGATTGCTTTAATCCAAAGGTTACTTATTCCAGTGAGTATTAGACTTAAATGACTATGTATTACGAGAGTTGTGTATGCATCAATTGTTGATTAATATGATGATTCCAGGAGACAAGTCAGTTGCCAATATCTTGACATGCAAGTGGCTCAGCTCTCCCAAGGTCAAGTCTCCTGGACTCCCTTTAACAAGAAAATTCGCATGAGAAAATTATTTCAATCTCTTCCTGCTGTTTTATAGCATGTGACGAAGCACAAATTATGCACCAGAAGGATTTAATATTCATTCTATAACGGTAATTCTTTATTTTCTATTAAATGATGCTTTTTGCAACTTTTCTATCTTAGTCCATTTAAATTACACCAATCTCCATTGATATTCTTTTCTCTTATTTACTTTGAGTATTTTGAATGAATATTCGTCAATGAAATTAAGTGGAATTTTAAGAAACTATTTTTCATGTGAAATGGTGATGCTATCTATCAGGAATGACTTATTGCTTTAATCCTTTGTTATTGTTTACAAGTTTCTTTCCAGTTTTATGGCATAGGTCAATTCGTGGAAAATATCGACATAAAGTCCTCTTATATTTGATGAATTTACAGCTGTATAGAACTTTAAAGTTCCAATGCCAATAAAGATAATAATAATTATTATAATATTTTATATTTAATAGACTGCTTGTCAATACTTTTAACTTTTAATTATTTTTTAAATCTAGAATTTTTAATTTATTTCTAATGTTATAAATATTTTTTAAATTATCACTAAAATTAAATAATCAACAGTAATTATTGAATTTATTGCTTCATTTCTAATAATTAAAAATATTTAAATCAATACCAAAATTAAGGTACAGTAAAATTAATTCAAATTTTTGTTAAGCTTTAATTTTATAAAAAATCAATAAACAAATTAATTAAATGACATTCAGAATTATCAGAATAAATTCTGTCTGTCTGTAAATGTATTATTCTCTATGAATCATCAGAAATTACTCCAAAACAGTTTCATTACCAATATCTCCACGAAAACTCAAGAGATATCAACTTGAATCATCAGACTTCAATAAAAAAAAATAAATAATCCCATCTCACAGTTGTTATTCTCAATTCAACTAATTGTAAAAATGACATACATCATAAAGATTCTCAGAAATTGACTGCAGTCACGGAAGTAATCATCATCAAACCTATTTGTTTCAGTGGTAATTATTTAGAATTGGGGCTCCAGTCAAAAATCGCTCCAAAAAATTTTTTATGCATTTGGGGTTGTTTCTGAGGGTACAAATAGTAAATTTAAGGCGGGGGAGACATATTATTTCCATTATTTCAGACATTTTTTCTAAACTGTATTTATTCTAAAATATATATTCTTGTTTTTGATTATTAATAGCATGACGAAAAGGATGGGAGGTGCGGGGTTGTTAAGAGAACATAAATATTTTTAATAATCACAAAATTATTTATGCCCTTTTAACACGCACCTTCCATCCTCTTCGTCACTTTATTATTCGAACTTAAGCTATACCTACACCTAAAAATCGTGTTTTTCTCGATGAAACCTCATGAAACATGTCTCCCCCACCTTTAATTATCTAATTCTACCTAACAAAATAGTTTCCAGGTGGTGAAAAATTTTTTGGAGCGATTTTTGTCTGGAGCCCCAATTCTAAATAATTACCGTTTCAGTAAGATATTTTTATTTAATTAAATACAACTCTATTGCATAAAAATTCATGGAACATCACTGATGATAACAGAGACATAAAATTGAACTCTAATACTTTTTTCCCATCACAACATAACTTATTATCCAACACTTACATAATAATCAATATTTTCCAATTTTATGTAAACCATAATTTCTGTCGAAACGTTTAGAGACTGATATACTTTTACTTTACATATCATAGAAAAATTAATTCTACAAAATAATTACGTTTATGTAAAAGCACTCTCAATATTAATAAGAAATCAACTCCATTAAAAGAAGTATATAATTTCATAATAAATATTTATATTTTTTAAATCCAACTGATAAATTATTTATCATAACATAACGGCCAATTATTTCTTCATTATTATCTTATTACTTTATAATAATTAATTAATCTAAATCATACTATTATTTAATTAACTAATTAATACAACATCATTAACAAATATTTATAAATATTTAACAAGAAAAAATCGAATTTTCAGGATGTTAAAGTGACTTCTAGAAAGATCAAAGCACTCGGACTCTGTTATCCTGTCTCGAAGGATTAAAATACCTTTGCAACCTACAGTGATGTTAAAAGCAACAAAAACACAAGGACTTAAGTGCAGCAATGGGTAGCTCCGAACTTGCGGACGATGCAACAGGTTGGACAGGTTTGCTCAGTATAGATCAGGAAACTCAAGTACGTGACTTTAAATCCATCTTCTTCCTACACATAATTTAATTATAAAATATTCATAATAATAATAATAATCCTTTTATTTCAGATTACACCTTTATTTTAATCAAGAATAAAAAAAGAAGCTTATGACAAATACTTTTACTTGAAATCCTATGGAAATAAGTTACACTTTCAATTCTCTGTAGAGACTAATACTCTCTCTTTTTGATGAAGAACGTACCAAGTCATGCTCATATGTATATGCACGCAGAAGTTGCGTGACCAGGTGCGATTTCGACCTTGAATACAAATGTGATCTTTAATATTAAGCTTCTGATATTATCTCATTAGAATAATAGTTTGCACGCACATGTAAGTCTTTTTTTTTCGCCGCTTTTCAATTATCACTAGTAAGTATTTATTATTAACTATGATTATTTCATTGATAGATAATGGATATTTTGATGTCACTTCCTGGGATATTTATTCTAAAGGAAATACTTCCGATTTGTGTTAGTGTTGAAGATAAGGTTTTTACTTTGTAAAGATCTAGTACGTTATCTGACATTAATCTTCGTGAGATTTATGTTGAGATAAATGTAGATCAACTACAATAAAGTAGATCAATTTACTTTTATCCAATGTCTAAGAAAAATTTTCTATGTCAGATAACGTTTCTACGTACATGCTACAAGAGGATTCTAAGATTCTAGGTATTTGTTTAGAGAAAAATACAAAAAGATATTGATTAGAATTTGCACTTTGAATTTTTTTAGAGATTAGAAAAATGAGATACATGAATGGAAAATTATTATTCTTTCTAAGTAAATAAATAAATGAAAAGTTCTTTTCATAGTTTGTTATCAAAAGCTATCAAAGCTTGAGTGTAAATATTGATTGAAGAATTATTCCATAGTTTTATTGAATTCTGAATGTATTTTTTTTTCTTTTTTTTAATTAGAAACAGTTGATAACAAATGGATAATTACTGAAATTGATCAAGTGCTTGAAATGAAAACATTACATATTAATATTCAATTAATTCTGTTGAATATTCATTTCATTTAGGATCGATTATAATTCACTTAATGCACTGTTTTGTACTCAGTGTTATATCAATAACCCTCTGTAGACTGAGATCTTGGAAAAATAAATTATGTTGATTATGAGATGAGTTTGGGCATGTAATAAATTATTATTAATTATTCCAAAGTCGATGTACGGGTGGGAAAATTATCTATTCTTCGACTTTGGACCTCTGTAACTCTTATACAAGTGATCTAGTAATGATCGTAAGGGGGTATTTACCCTCGTAAGTTTTACCCCACTTTAGGGGTGAAGTAATGGATTATTTAAATGTTTGACCCGATTCCGCATTTCTACACATCAAGACGAAGAGAATGAGTGGTCAAACTTGAAAATCGGACAACTTTGATTTTTCACCCCAAAAAAATGGCAAGTGGTACCCCTTTCCATTTTTTTCAGCCAAAAAATAAAAGTTCTCCGATTTTGATGATTGAGGGCTCATTCTCTTTGTCTTGATGCGTAGAAATGCGGAATCCGGGCACCGCCCAAAAAAATTCACTTTAACACCCTTAAAATGGGGTTAGACTGATTACAAAATACGAATAATCCTCCTCCTGACTTTAAACCCTTATAACTCATGAACGGACCGACCAATAACTGATTTTAGGGACGTTTTGAGAACCATGAAATCTGAGCAATCTGACCATATCCATAGATTTATTAGAAAAAATTTCTTTCACCCTTAAAATCGCTAAAATATAAAAAAAAAACAAATTTTTTTGGGAGTTTGCCAACTATTTTGGCAATTTTAAAGGTGAAATCAATTTTTTTAAGGTTGTTTATGGATATGTATCGTTAGCTGACATTCTGAAGTTTCTAAACATCTCCTCAAAATCATTATTAGACAACTTGAATGAAAGTTATAGAGGGCCAAAGTCGAAGAGTAAATGATGTTTGGCCCTTGCTTCGACTTTGAATCTGAATAACTCTAATACAATTCCTCTAATAACGATTTTTAAGAGGTTTTTGGAAACTTCAGAATGTCAGCTAACGATACATATCCATAAAAAATGTGTAAAAAATTGATTTCACCCTTAAAATTGCCAAAATAGTTGGCAAACTCCCAAAAAAATTTGATTTTTTTTTATATTTTAGCGATTTTAAGGGTGAAAGAAATTTTTTATTATAAATCTATGGATATGATCAGATAGCTCAGATTTCATGGTTCTCAAAACGTCCCTAAAATCAGTTATTGGTCGGTCCGTTCATGAGTTATAAGGGTTTAAAGTCAGGAGGAGGATTATTCGTATTTTGTAATTAGTCTAACCCCATTTTAAGGGTGTTGAAGTGAATTTTCTCGAGCGGTGCCTCGATTCCGCATTTCTACACATCAAGACGAAGAGAATGAGTGGTCAAACTTGAAAATCGGAGAACTTTTATTTTTTGGCCAAAAAAAATGGAAAGGGGTACCACTTGCCATTTTTTAGGGGTGAAAAATCAAAGTTGTCCGATTTTCAAGTTTGACCACTCATTCTCTTCGTCTTGATGTGTAGAAATGCGGAATCGGGTCAAACATTTAAAAAATCCATTACTTCACCCCTAAAATGGGGGAAAACTGGATACACACTAAAAATTATCGTCCCCTTGACTTTAAACCCCCATAACTCATAAAGGGTTGGTCCAATAACCGGTTTTAGGGATGTTTTAGAAACTTTCAAATCTGAGCTAAATATACATATTTATAAAAAATGTTAAAAAAGTTTATTTCACCCTCAAAATTGCCAATATATAAAAAGTTACATTTTTTTAAGAGTCTGTTAAGTATTTTGGCAATTTCGAGGGTGAAATAAATTTTTTTAACATTTTTTATGGATATGTATATTTAGCTCAGATTCTTAGGTTTCAAAAACGTCCCTAAAATCAGTTATTAGACAGTCCATTTATGAGTTATAGGGGTTTAAAGTCAGGGGGAGGATTATTCGTAATTTGTATTCAGTCTTACCCCTGTTTAAGGGTGTTAAAGTGAATTTTCTCGAGCGGTGCCCGGATTCCGCATTTCTACACATCAAGACGAAGAGAATGAGCCCTCAATCATCAAAATCGGAGAACTTTTATTTTTTGGGCTAAAAAAATGGAAAGGGGTACCACTTGCCATTTTTTTGGGGTGAAAAATCAAAGTTGTCCGATTTTCAAGTTTGACCACTCATTCTCTTCGTCTTGATGTGTAGAAATGCGGAATCGGGTCAAACATTTAAATAATCCATTACTTCACCCCTAAAATGGGGTAAAATGGGACCTTTCTTTAATTTTAGCATTAATTATCCTTTAATTATGATTTTAACTATATCCATTTTTTCTTTTCCGTTTAGATCTTCTATATGAGCCCTCCGATCAACCACTTAGCATCATGAGCATTGAAGTTATCCACATTTTCATCCGCATCAGTGACACTTTATATCATCAAACTCATTCTAATCCGTTCAAGAGGCATTAAATAATAAAAACATTAAAATATGTTTACATAAACGTTCACTTACTTCATTTACATAAAATACTTGTGACTAAAAAGAACTCTTTGATGAATAAAACGATTGGTTGTTCGATAAATAGCAGCTTAATATCAGTGAATAAATGTACTCTAGAAGCTGACTTGACTAATTAAATAATTTATTTTGACCAGTTAATCCTCAATAAATGTAAATCGTAATAGAGGATGACGTAAATTAGTTATTAAATCATTGACATAATGTAGCATTATGCTAGATTTATTCCATCATTTGCACAACTATGTCTAGAATGTTCTGGTTTTTTTTCGGTATTAACCGCATCTCAATCTTCATGTTGGTCTTCTTTATATTACTAATGTCAAATAAGTTAATCCACTGTCAAGTTCAAAGTTTATTGTCTGCTTAGATGAACAACCAGTTTCTAACAGCTGTTTATTAGTATTTCAATGACGTAAGGTCATTGTGATAGACATTGTGGCATCGTTAAATTTTATTTCATATTTTGCAATCAATTTTTAATGAGTCACATATGAATGCTTATTAAGAGAAATATGTATTCATATTATTATTATTATTCATGCATTTAAAATGCATTCATTTGAAGTGAATTTAATTCATGTCATTTAAATTTTTAAGAATTTATAATTACAAGGTTTACTTTATTACTACCTAAAACCTTATTATTAAATTACAATTTATAAATTATAGATTAAATAATAAAGTTCCCTAGCTTACATTTATTTTATTAAGTAGTAAATAATAAATAGAATAAGTCTATTACTTCAATCGTAATGGAATAATTTGATGCAGTTTTGATTCTATTAAATGATTTTTTATTTTAAATAAAATATAATTCCAATCAATTCCATTTTGTATTCAATTGATACAACTTAGTAGTTAAATAACAATTCAGCTTGATCTACTCTTTATTAAAAAAAAAATTCAGTTGAATATCAACTAACAATTAATGTTGAAACTGATCAAGTCTATCAACAGTCAATAAATATTTTTATCAAAACTAAGCTTCCAATAATTGTGTATAACTATAAAATAAAAATGAATAAAATAAAATTGAAAAATAAAATATTAATTCAATGTTTTTAAAAAGAGAAGGAATTTTTAACGAGTTGCGTTAATTAGATTCAGGCATCAGCAGTGATGGAATTAATTGAGTTTATTAATCATCAATCAACTTATTGATTTATTTATCATAATTAATAAGTATTAATCATAAACTAAAATCGAATTTACGTTAATTTAGAATTGTGATAAGCTGATAATAATTTAGAACATAGAAAAAGATTATAATTCTAATTTTAATATTAATTTTTAGTATTTATTTTTGATCAGTTTTACTTTTTAATAAACCTAAAATAAATTCTGTGTATCAACTTTTATTTGTAGACAATAATTCAATACGTGCTGAGATTGATGTCAAAGACCTAGCATTTTTACACTTTCTAAAGACATGAAGGTTCTTTTTTCTACTTGCAAATGAAGTGTAGTCTTCTTGGTGTTTGAAGTACAATAGTATAGTATCATATCACTGACCTATTTCTTACACTAGCATTATTCAAAGTTAGACAGAAAAATTTTTATGACATTCACGTCAATGCAAAGTATATCTCGTAAAAAGTAAATTGATCAATTAATTTCCTTATGATAGTAGTTATTTGCTTATTTATTTAAATTATCATAATTGATTTGGCATTTATAATTTCTAAAGCACTTGCTATAATCATTTTCAAAGAAAAGACAAAAAAAAGGTATTATGTATGCAGTTTGAAAAATGCACTTTTATAACATGAAAAAAAGTAAAATAAAATATCTCTTTTTTTTCTGAACGTGTTCAAGAGCATTTGCAAATTTTCTTTTTAATATTAATAAATTCGAAGAACCTCTTCAGAAAATATTTTCTACTTTAAAGACACTTTCTCTATTGTGCTTTAAGACTAAAATTAATTTTTGATGATTTGCAAAAAAGCTGCGCCTTTTTTCTTGCATTCAACTAAAGTTGATAATAATAAAACAAAAATATGTAGACTCTTAGATCATGTTGTATCCTATTATCAGTTGAAGATAAATGATGTAGATGATGTTTGTTTATAAAAAGAAATCTATCTAAGGAATTCTATGATGTAGGCGGAAGCAAATATGCATATATATTTCCCTCTGGTAGAAAATCAATACAGCGAACATTCTGCCATGGAATATTTAAAAATAAATATATAATTAATAGAACTAAGTGGCTTTAAATATCATAAATAAAAGCTTCTTTTGTCATTCTAATTTTCATTGTCAACTTGGTAAATAGTTGTTTATTTTTAACATCTGAATCAATTCAAAATGAGAATAATTGTTATCGAGAAATGAAGTTCTACCTTGAAATAAGCTATAAAATTTTCATTCTACTCTTTCTTTGATTGAAACAACGAAAATTCAGTATTTAAACAATGGAATATTGAACAATAGATGGAAAATCAATTAATTGAGCTAAATAATTTCATTCATTGATTAATTTATTTTTTTTGATAAAGACTCTTTAATTAAATTTTACATTCAGAGATTTTAATTGAATTAGTTTTGATGATTTTTAAAAATAAAATTGCAGATATATATTTAACCACCTCTTGATCATTTGGAAATATTTTTGAATTAAAACAACATCATGTAGTTAATGTTTAAACAATGCATGTCCAAGAAAACCATTATTTCCAACAGTAACCATTTTAATCGCTGTTTAACGTTGTAAAAATTTCACTGCTCCAATTTCGAAGAACGTATCAACTCCAAACCTGTTTGAATAATGGTTTCATGGAATGATCATGGTATCTTGACGACAATGCAAAAACATTTTTCACAAGCTAAATTCAAAAATTTTATAAATAAACTTAGATAACAATGAACAATAATAATTCCTTCAATGAGCAATTGGTAAATTAGCTTCCATATGAAGCAAGAATCTAGCATTTTTATCAAAAAAATCTTAAATTTAATTACTAAATTCTAAGAAAATAAATATATAACTTTATTTCCTGGGTTTTGAATAGTTGTTTGAAAGAAGTAAGCAGTAAGCATGACATTTATCATAATGATTCAGACATTTTGATAAAAAATATCTCCAACATTTAAAGCTTTATGAGACCGTAGATTCTCACGACATTTCCAAGACAGTTTTATTAAATGGTGCAGTTCCGGTGGCCTACTTGGTCTTCCATGTTTCTATATCCAGTTCAATACTTTTTCCCGTCTACTAGACCGTTATTGCGTTACTTATATTAGAAGCGTGCATGAGGCTTCTTAAAGTAGTATCAGCTCAACGACATGAGACTTCTCTAAATACCATCGAAGACAGAATTCCCAAGTGCTTGAAGCAATGACCGAGTATCCGGCTTGAAGGCATGTGTGATATCCTCCCAGTAAGCTTGACCAGGTGAAGAGGCGTCCAGATGAATCATCCTTGCGAATGCCACTTCAAGGCCGTACGTTGACCTGTAGGAAATAAAATAGACTGGTGTAATACAAAAAAGTGGTCAAACACTCCTTCATGGATCAAAACATCCAATACTCTTTCAACTTGGATCAGTGAAAATCACTGGACATCAATGATTGTTCTTTGATGATCACATCCATGATCAAGCCTACCACTGCCCAGATCAATAATTGACGCTTGGTATTGGAGCAAAACAAATTGGTAACCACTGATTCCAGTGTAAGATAACAGAAATATTCCAGATCATAATATGGATTAAATTGCACAAGAATAAAAGAAAAATTAATAATCATAAAATTTATTTACAAAATGGCTATAAGTCTTGTACAACCACTTAGATCTTACTTAAATCTTGCACAATTCATAACACATACTCCAAAACATGTGTGTTACTCCAAATAATATTTTCTCAAAGGAAAAGTAGATCTTTGAGAGATAGACAGCAGATCTAAAGGATATCTAGACTTCTCTACTATATCACGACAAAGGTGTTGAGCAAAAAGAAAGAAAACAAGGTTAAAGTCACTGGAGATCTTGCCAACAGATATCACTACAAAAACTCTGTTTCCCTTTATGTACGTCATTACTTGCGTAGAACTTACGTAGGTAATCCATTGTATGAAAAAAGATTTAACATCCAAATATGAAAATTTAACAACTAAAAATGATAGATAAGTAATGTAGAGTAAAATGATAAAAAAAACTATTGTTTAGGATATTTTTATTCATCAATGTTGCTTTAGATTAACTGATTAGTGTCATTTATTCCTATTCCATTTTTGTCGGAATGAAAAAATGACTCTGGAATGTGGAAAAGTACTGTTTATTATCTTCTATCAACGCTATGTTTTAGCTTGAATCCTTTTATGTAGAATTTGTGTAGTAATCTTACATTGTTTTTTTTTTTTTTATAGCTATTTGTATCATTCACGCACTTGGAAGAATTTTCTAATTATAATACTTGTGATGTACTTGTAGAATAGAGGTATGCATTCATTATTTTCATCCCTTCAGATATGATGAAGAATTTTAGACTTGTATTGTTTGTTGTTATATAAGGAAATTCTTACAATTTCAAGTTATTATCAAATTCCTTAGGCATATCAAATGTTACATGAGTCAGACACTGGGTATGAATGTACAGAGATAAAATAATGTCTCGATAAAAAATATTGTGAGTAAAAAGTTGTTTGTTTTGTTGAATATCAAATCAATTCATTTAAATATATTATTTTAACTTGATCCAATTTTTTTTTTTTTTTTTGTTGTGAAAATAAATTATAAAATTTTTTTAATAAAGTTAAAAACAAATTTATTTATTTTAACTAATGCTTGTTGATTTTTAACACAGGTTTCATTAATTCAAGTAAAATTATTATTTAAAAAATATATATATATATATTTTTAACTTTTAAATATTTATAAAAAATTCTTTTTCATAAACAGAAAAAAAAACATCATAACAAATTTAATTATATATTTTTTTTTAATTACTGCATTTTGAAAAAATTTAATTAGATGTTTAAAAAATCCTACCAGATTTACATATAATTATTAAGGTACTAATTTAAAAAAATGATTACCGAGTTTAAAAAAGCAAGTGATATTAAAACGAATAATAAA